CCGTCATTGGTGGCATCTCCAGAGAAGACCAGGGCTTCCGGCTACGCATGGGCTGTGAGGTTTGTTTGCCTGGACAGTGGCCAGCCCGCTGGCTGGGAAATCTCTGTTCTGGTTTCTTAAATAGATGTGCAGCGAAAATTTAAGAAGGGGCCTGCCTATATATAAGTTCTTCTTTATTCTTATTACTTTTTAAATTTAACTGTATGTATTTGAAAGAGTGACAGAGAGAGAGACAGAGCGAGCTCACTTTCCAAGTGTTCACAACAGCCAGCCCTGGGCCAGGCTCGAGTCAGGAGCCAGGAGTGCCATCTGAGCCTCCGTGTGGGTGGCAGGTGCCCAGGCACCTGTGCCATTCTCTGCTGTTTGCCCAGGCACAGTAGCAGAAGGATGGATCCAGAGCAGACAGCTTGGTCTTCACCCACTGCTCTGATGTGGTATGCTGGCATCACCAGTGGCAGCTTAACCTGTGGTGCCACAGTGTCTGCCCCTGTGAGCCATTATTAACCCAAAATGTATGCAACAGGGGCTGTGTGGCACACAGTACGTGTTGTGAAAGCTCATTAAACCTCCCAGGGACCGCATCAGAATGCCATTTCCATTTCATAGATGAAACTGAGGCTCGTCTGAATTTTAAGTCTGTCCAAAGTGAAGCACAGACTGGCAGTGGGCAGAGCGGAGATTCACGTCCCCAGTGGCCTGCCAGACCTCACCACTGTGTTGGCTGCTGGAGAAAAGGGGGGAGGTTGGTTGGTTGGTTGGTTTTGTTTTTTTATAAGAAGTCAGCCTGCCGCCATTAAGCCTTGTGCAGACCTCTGAGGATAACTCGTTTATTCCACCCCTCTACAGTATTCCTTAATCTCGCTTCTAAGAAAATTCTCTGTGGAAGAGTTTAAGGGAGTGATTTCATTGCCAGTTCTTAGGAACCCTTGCTGCCCAGCACGACCGGAAGGGCGGTCTGCATTCCTTAGCTGATGGCAGGAGAAGGGCCTGCCTGTGGGCTCCCGTGTGATCACACTGTCCCCCCCAGATTGTGATTGCTACCCCGGGGCGTCTGATTGACGTGCTGGAGAACCGCTACCTCGTGCTGAGCCGCTGCACCTACGTGGTTCTGGATGAAGCCGACAGGATGATTGACATGGGTTTTGAGCCGGATGTCCAGAAGATCCTGGAGCACATGCCCGTCAGCAACCAGAAGCCTGACACGGACGAGGCGGAGGACCCCGAGAAGATGCTGGCCAACTTTGAGTCAGGAAAGCACAAGTACCGCCAAGTAAGACTGCGCCCCTGGGCCCTCTGCCCTCCTAGCGCCCACGTCCCCATGCACTCCTCCGACGGTCCTCATGGTGGCGCTATTGAGCTTCCCCCTAAGAAATGAGTCTGGAGAGCCCAGGCTTCAGGTGCTGGCAGCTGCTGGCAGCCCTCCTGCCCTGGCATGTGAGTGCTTTGAAGAGCAGATACAGGGCAGAGAAGAGCTGCCCAAGGTGGTGAGCAAGCTGACACTGGGGCATATCTGAGACGCACTCAAGAGTCAGAGAGCTCCCATGTGGGCGTTCCATCCCCATGTGCCCGTTATGACCGGGCAGGAGCTTCATCCGGGTTTGCACATGAGTGCCAGGCTGCACCTGAGCCACCGCTCGCCGCCTCTCAGGGTCTGTCCTGGAGCCGGACGCGGGTATACTCTGACCCCAGTGTGAGCATACTAAGTGGCGTCTCACCTGCTTACCACATGCTGGGGCTGAGCTGGGGCTGAGCTGGGGCAGCGAGTGCTGCTGGGGGGCCCTGAGCTGGGGCAGCGAGTGCTGCTGGGGGGCCCTGAGCTGGGGCAGCGGGTGCTGCTGGGGGGCCCTGAGCTAGGGCAGCGGGTGCTGCTGGGGGGCCCTGAGCTGAGCCTCCTGTCTCCACAGACAGTCATGTTCACGGCAACCATGCCCCCGGCAGTGGAGCGTCTGGCCCGGAGCTACCTGCGGCGACCTGCTGTGGTGTACATCGGCTCTGCAGGCAAGCCCCACGAACGTGTTGAACAGAAGGTCTTCCTCATGTCCGAGTCAGAAAAGAGGTACAAAGGCGGCTGGTCTTGGAGCAAGAAACAGCTTCCTCCAGTGCTGGGGTGGTGCGGGGGACTGCTCTGCCATGTAGGGGAGCAGCCGAGGGCATCGAAGCCCTCAGTGTTCATGTCTCAGGGCAGGGTCTGGCATTGCACTGCTGCAGTGTCTCATCTTTTCTGTCCCTCTTTTCCCAGGAAAAAGCTGTTGGCCATCTTGGAGCAAGGCTTTGATCCACCCATCATCATCTTTGTCAACCAGAAGAAGGGTTGCGATGTGTTGGCCAAATCCCTGGAGAAGATGGGGGTATGTCCGGCAGGCCTGTGTGTGTGGTGTGGCTGTCCTTGAAGTGCACGTTGTCGGTTCTCACCTGCCCTTCAGCCAGAGGGACAGGGAGAACTGGGCAGATGCTAAGGCTCCCGGTCCATATTGTCAGCGGCAGCCAGAGCTGCCCTGGGTCTTCACCCAAGAGGCGTGGGGCCAGGGACTGGTTTTACGACCCATATTCCGGCTGGCTCCGAGGCTGTGGGACTGAGTGGGCCAAAGCTGTGTGTGTTTGCAGATGTTTGAGCAGGAATGTAACAGGGCAGGAGGGAGGCCTGAGGACCGGTGTCCTTTAGTCCTGGTGCTGGGGGCGTGAGGGCCAGCTCTCACCTCCCTGGTTCTTCGCGGTCCCTTCCTTCCATCTTCATCTCTCATTCTCTCCTGAGTCCCTTTCAGCCGTCTGACTCCCCATCTTGCCCCAGATGGCTTTGTCTTGGGCCTTGCCTGTTCCTGCCACCCCACACTGTGGTTCTCCTCCCACGTTCTTGTCCTTATCTCAGGGCCCTTCCTCTCAGCACCCTCCCTCTCTCCCGTCCCTCTTGACTGTCTTCCCGTGGTCTCATCGCCCTTATCGCCCTTACTCCGCCTTACTCCTCTTCCAACAGTACAATGCGTGTACACTGCACGGGGGGAAAGGCCAGGAGCAGCGTGAGTTTGCACTGTCCAACCTCAAGGCCGGGGCCAAAGATATCTTGGTGGCTACTGATGTGGCTGGTCGTGGTATCGACATCCAAGATGTGTCTATGGTTGTCAACTATGATATGGCCAAAAACATCGAAGGTAAGTGTGTAGAGGAAAGTAAGACTTGCCCTCTTCCCACTCCAGGACAAGGTTCCACTCTGGGGTGGGGAGACTGCTGCTGCCTCCTCTCGCGGCTCCAGGCCTGAGCTGGCCTGTCCAGTGAGGAGAGCTGTGACGTTCTCGCTCTGTCTGGGGCTGGTGGTCCAGCCTGCGACAGCCCTTCTGTCTTGAGAGGTGTGGGGAAGAACGGGGCGAGGCAGCCCTCGGTGCGGCAGGATGTGGGCTGGCGGTTGACCACAGCCAGCAGCGGGAGCAGGAGACCAGGCACCCGTGGGAAAGCGCTCCAGGGCGGGAGGGAGAGCGGACAGAGCATCTCCGAGGTGGCGCCTGGAGCCAGAGCTCAGCAGAGCGCCAGGCCCGGGCCTGAGGCTGTTTCCCCTGTCCCTCAGATTACATCCACCGCATCGGCCGCACTGGCCGAGCCGGCAAGAGTGGTGTGGCCATCACCTTCCTCACCAAAGAGGACTCTGCTGTGTTCTACGAGCTGAAGCAGGCCATCCTAGAGAGCCCGGTGTCCTCTTGTCCACCCGAGCTGGCCAACCACCCCGATGCCCAGCACAAGCCAGGAACCATCCTGACCAAGAAGCGCCGGGAAGAGACCATCTTTGCCTGACACAGCCCACTTCCTACGGCGTCAGGGCAGGAACTGAAGCTACCGGATGCCTGCTCGTCAGCACCCCCAACGTCCCTCATTCCAGGTTCTCGGACTTGGGTTATGGCGGCTTAGGAGACCATCAGACTGCCTGCTCTAGACCTCCACTCTGGGGAAGTGACCGCCAGTCCTGGCCCACTCCCAGGGACAGGGGTAGGCTCTGTGATTGTAGTGGGTTGTCAGCTCTCGGCAGACCGTGGGGGCAGCTGCTGAGCGCTGCCCATCCCTGCCCCCTCCTGGATGAAAGCCTGGCTGCCTTGGCCCAGGTGTGACTGGAGAGCACAGCAGCATCACGGTCCTAGGTGAGCCAGGAGATCTGGCCTGGTGCCGCCCGTGGACCTCAGACTCTCACCTTGGCCAGCTGCTCTCCCAGGGAGAGCCTTGGGCACTGCACGGCCCCAGCCTCGGGGTGCTGTGCACTCCAGGCATCCCTCCCCCGGGGAGTTTTTTAGTAGATGCGGGACAGGGTGAGCTGGCTGTGTTCAACTTGAAGTCACTGAGATTTCTGTTTTCTATTCTCTGAAAAGATAAGTTTGTATGTTCTGAGAATAAATATGAGTATTAAGGCTGCATCCGCTTCTAGCTGTGTCTCCCAGCTGCTCCCGATGTCACACAGGACAGGAGGGACACAGCAAGCGTTGTGCGGTTGAGGGGCTGGGAAATGCTGGTGGTCTGAGTCGGCCCTGGAGCTTGGGAGCAGCAGAAGCCATGAAAGCCGGTCACAGAGGTTCTCCCCTCCCTGGCGCTAGCCACATGCGGCTTGTGGCCCTGAACTGGCCACCAGTGGGGAACTCTTTGCAGAGGTAAAGCAGGAAGGTAACTGTAGGGTAGCCCTCAGTGCCAGGCTCCCTGGAGAGGCAGGTACCAAAGGCCTCACAGGTTGATGAGCTGGGCCCCTTCCGCCCCTCCCCTTCCGGAATGAGCTGGCCAAGTCCATGGAGTTCAAGCTGTAGCTGCTTCCAAGGCCTTTGGGGCCTGAAGCAGGGACAGTGGAGAACCCCTTGTGTGCTGCTGAACATGGGCACGAGGTGGGGTACCAGGGGCCGCCATGCCTGCTCTGTCCCGCCCACTTGTCACTCAGCGGCTGCTTTGAGAAGTGAGACGAGCGTTCCTCCTGGACTTGAGTCACACGGTCCAGAACCTGGCTCCCTGTACAAGCAGGACAGAAGCCCGAGGGACTGTGCGTGGTGTTTTATTCACAATGACAGCGAGGTCGGGCAGGGTCTTGTGGAGCATGCTCTGAAGGTCATACATGAGAGCCGGAATGTAAGGGTTTAACTGGGTAGACAGAACCGTGCTGGGCTATCCACCATGTCCCAGCTCTCCTCGTGTGGCCCTAACCTAACAAGCAGCAGCTAGGAGTCGGGGAGGAAAGCCTGGAGCCCCTACCTTTCAGGAGGCATGAAGGGCAAGAACAGAAATGACAGGATGCAAGGGCAAGAGAATGCGGATGGCAGGGAGGCCCCCACGGCGCTTCGTGTTTTCTGCTCCACGAGCCCGTCCGCCCACCCGCCCTGAACCCAAAACCAGGTGGGCCTCCGACCTGACCCCACTGCTTCACTCCTGGCCCCGTCATGCTGGGAAGCCTCCTGGCAGGGGGAGGAGAGGCCTTTCCTCCGAATTGCTATGATCTCTCAGGCCTCGGCCTAGCCTGCCTGCTGCTCCAGCCTGGCAGGTGGGTGCCCCAGCCCAACTGGTGGGAGTACCACCCAACTGGCTTTGATTGTCTCATTTCTTATGTGTGGCAGTGAGGGGAGTGCAGGCCTTCGGACCCTGAAGCCCAACCCCCCAAGTCCCTCGACTGTTCGGACTTGCAACTGCCCAAGACCATACTGCTTCCTCATGCCGTGGTGCCCACACCCAGCCTCTTCTCGTGTGGAGGCGGCTCCCTTCCCTGAGTCTGGTGGGAAGGCCTCTGCTAAGGAGATCCTGGCCTGAGGGCGCTGCCCAGAGGGGCAGCAGCTTGTGCAGGAGAGGAAGGTGCCAGGGGTGCAGGACACACAGCTAGTACCTGGAATGGGAGCCTAGGGGGTCACTGTGCCCAGTAGGTGAGAGGGGGCCCCCTGCTTTTCCTAAGTAGCCCTGAAGCTGGGGCTGGGCAGGGGTTCGTGAGGGCTGAGCCTAGAGCCAGCCTAATGCCAGTCTAGTTCCGGCCTGCCTGGAGTGGGGTGCCCCGGCCAGCTGTGCCTATGCCCAATAGGGTGGTACAGCAGGAGGCCATCAGTAGCTGTCTTTGGGCCAAGGCCGGTTCCGCTGCCAGTTCCGGTCATTGTGGCTGTGCTCCGAGTTCTGGGCTAGGAGCCGGTCCTGGGGGTCATGCCCGTTGGCGCTAGGCAGCCCCGAGGTGTGCTGTCGATGAGGCTGGTACAGGTCCTGGTAGGCATCCGCATAGTCCTCCTCCAGGTGGCGAGAACTGCGGCGTGAGGATCCCGTCCACGCTTGGCGGGAGCTCTCGCTGGCCTCGTCCGAGGGCATCAAGCTGTCCCGCTCGAGGGGCGAGTGCTCCTCGCCACGCTCTGCCAACAGCTGCTGGTTCTGGGGGGACCACACCACAGCTCTCAGCGAGGTGGTACAGGTCTGGCTGTGGCCTCCCTCTCACCTCCAGTAGGATGAGAGCTTCCTCCCCCCTGAGCTCCGAACTCCCAGCAACGGGAAGTCGGATAAGCAAAAAGAGTGCAGGAGCATCAGATACAGAGAATGAGAGAAGACGGACTGGGAGCAGGCGTGGGAGAGAGAGAGAGAGAGAGAGAGAGAGAGAGAGAGAGAGAGAGAGAGAGAGAGAGAGAGAGAGTGTGTTGCTCTGGACTCCTGGGCAGCTACTTCTCGGATCACCCACAGTGCTGTTTATTCCCTCTCTCATCAAAAGGTTCCTGGCCCATCTGTGCTTGCTCTGTCCAGCAGAGCTGACTCTGAAGGCAGGCCAAGGACCATCCTCTTGTAAGGGTATCGGGGAGCCTATCTATACCCTTTGAGAAGGCTTACCTGGAGTCCAGGGATGGCACTGGGTGGGCCCAGAAGCCCAGGACCAGGGGCTGGGTGGTGGGTGGCTCGCCAGTACACCTCCAGGTATTCGGCCAAGTGCTCGCAGGCATCCTCCAGCTGGTTCTCGTCCAGGATGACATCAAATGACTCCTGGGAGGGTAGATGGAGGGCGGGGCAGCCATTGGCGGCCACAGCCCCACCCCCGCCCCCCTGGTGACCCAGGAGCAGCCAGCCCAGGCACTCACGGGTGGACACTGCACCAGCTTGTCGTACGCCATCATCTGTACGGTCAGGTGTTTCATCTGGGACTTCCCCCGGGAGCGGATGAGCCGCTGCAGTACCTGAACAAGGAGTTCACATGCGTGCACACACACAGTATATCAGTAGTGCACAAAGACGACTTGGAGTGGCAAGGGGACTGGGCATGGGGGGAGGCAGCAGCTGCACCGCACTCCAGGGGGGCACCCTGCTTACTACCTTGGGCGAAGAGACTTTGACGAAGACGATGATGGGAGCCAGCGAGGTCTTGGCCAGCTGGGCTGGGTGGTTGATGGTGTCCGCGTCCAACACTACCAACTGCAGGGATTTGGCCAACTCGAATATACGCTCAATTTCACTCTGCACTTCAGCTGGGAAGGCAGGGAGCAGTGGGGCTCACAGTGGCTCCCACTGTTCACCGCACCAGACCTGGAGGACTCCCCAGGGATGCAAAGGGAGGAACTGTGGGGAGAGGTGTAGGGAGTAGAGAGGGCGGTGGGCAGAGAGGCAAGGAGTTGGGGGGGTGGCCGGAGCAGGGCTGTCAGGAGCCCCACGTCTTACCGATGCTGGAGCGGGCAGAGGAGCGCTCGATGATGGTCCGTTTGCCAGGGTTGTTGAGCACGGATCGCTTCGCCAGGGAGAGGTCAGCAGTGACGCGGGTAATAGAGATCCTGGGGGGGGGGGGAATAGTGCAAAGCACAGCTCCCTCCTGGCCCTGCAGTGGGTGCCCCCCTTCTCTGCTTGCCAGGCCCCCAGGCTGGCTGGGCAGCTCACCTGCCGTCAAACCGATGTTTGAGGAAGTCGAAGAGAGCCTTCTGCATCATGTCGGTGACCTGGGGTGGAGATGACACAGACCCTCAGGGAAGCCATATGCCCGTGCGGGGTCCCACTCAAGACCTAGCCACACTGCACATGCAGAGCCTGGGCGCGAACAGCACTTCCCGCTGCTGCCTTCCTACGGAACCTTGGCCAGGAGACTCGACGGGCCAGGCACCTCCGCTCTCACCTCATAGCCTTTCAGAGAGGGTCCCACGAGCACCACGGGCCGCATGGAGGGCACCACGTCGTAGGGGGGAACATGTTCCGCCTGCAAGATGAACACCAGGCCACATCACGACCCTGAGGTTCGTACAGTGCCTGCCTGGGCGCACAGGCAGGGCATCTGAGCTCCTCCCTTCTCTGGTCTTCCCTGAGCTGCGAGTCCCCAGCCCAGCCCCCTGCCCCCCACTCACCTGCTTCTGCTTCTGCTTGGCTTTTTGGAAAAGGAAATAAAAGATTAAAGTTTGGTGAAGGGAGAACGGGGTCCTGGCAGCCCCGTCCCCAGGGAGAGGGTGGGCTTCCTCCCAGCTCCTTCAATCCCTCCGCCAGCCCCTTCCCACGCAGTCCCCTGGACAGACTCCTCAGCTGCCCACCTACCCAAGACAGGTGGGTTGGGGAGAGGCTACCTAGTGACGGAGGAGGGGAGCGGCGGTTGCCAATGTCACTCAGGCTGGAAGGGTTGCCGGATCTCCTGAGAACAGAGAGAGGGGGTGTGTGTGTGTGTGTGTGTGTGTGTGTTCCACAGGCTGTTGAACTTCCACACACTCCACGAGACGTGTGCACAGTTTTGGAGCTGAGTGTGCGAGCAGTCCTTGGCATGCTGTGGTCTGTGGCTGCACCTGTCCTCACCTGGCCTTCTGTTCCTGCTTGAGCCGGATGCTCTCCAAGCGCTGGGGGCTGGGGATGAAGGCGATGTCCCCGCCCTCCTTCACTAGCCGCCCGATCCACCAGTCATTGCTGTACTTCTGCGGAGGGGTTGGGCAGAGAGGCATGCTGAAGGGAGTGACAGCCCAGGGCTCAGGCAGTTCTTTAACGTAAGGTGGTCTGGGATGGAAGGTGCCAGAGGGAAGGGCAGCCCTAGTCTTGGGCCACCCAGGGGACCTGAGGCAGCCAGTGCAGCTCCTCAGGCTACAGCTGTGGGCACTTGGGGGCTGAGGCCTGGGGCACGCGGGGCATACGGCTCAGGCTACAGCTGTGGGCACCTGGGGGCTGAGGCCTGGGGCACGCGGGGCATACGGCTCAGGCTACAGCTGTGGGCACCTGGGGGCTGAGGCCTGGGGCACGCGGGGCATACGGCTCAGGCTACAGCTGTGGGCACCTGGGGGCTGAGGCCTGGGGCACGCGGGGCATACGGCTCAGGCTACAGCTGTGGGCACCTGGGGGCTGAGGCCTGGGGCACGCGGGGCATACGGCTCAGGCTACAGCTGTGGGCACTTGGGGGCTGAGGCCTGGGGCACGCGGGGCATACGGCTCAGGCTACAGCTGTGGGCACTTGGGGGCTGAGGCCTGGGGCACGCGGGGCATACGGCTCAGTGCCGAGGAGCTTGGGGGAGTCAAGGATGGAAGCCAGAGGTGTGGGCTCTGGGGCAGCAGCAGCAGAAGGAAGGCTGGAGACCCATGTGGACCGCAGGGTCGGTCACCTCTTTAATGTGCAGAAAGTCTTTGGCCTCAAAGTTGACTCCCGAGCCCTGGACCGGGCACTCCTCATCCAGCACGCCGCAGTAGCTGACATTGGTCCTCACAGCAAACGCCACGGGTTTGTGCTGGAGAACACACAGCCACATCAATACAAGGGCACAGAGCTCTCTGGGCACTTCCCTGGCACAGGCTGCCCATCACGCACCCATACTCCCGTGACCCCAGCATGTGGCTTCCACCCGACTGGCCTCCTGTCTTGGTCCCTGCCCGTGGGGGTGGGAATACCTTGGCTCTTTCCAGCTGCTGCTGAGCCTGGCTCTCCACTTCGCGCCGGGCACTCTCCCGGTCCTCCTCCAGCGAGACGTCGGAGTCCAGAGACGGGCGGCTGGTGTAGGAGTCGGCTGAACCCTGTAGCAGGGGCCGGAGGGGTGGGGTGGGAGCAGACTTCTGGGCTCAGGCCTGAAGCCTACACACTGCAGCAGCTCCTGGGGTCCCTCCTAACGCACCCCCCCCCCAAGGGCCCCCAGGATCTCTGAGGCTGCAGAAAAGCTGGTGCAATCTACAAATAAGACCATCTGCCCCTCCCCCAACCAGGCATATTGTCACCTTTGAATATTCTCCCGCACCTCCTCCCTTCCCTCTATCACGTGTCCAAGGCAAGCAAAAAACCTATACTGAAGATGACAGACTAGACCACTGTGTGTCCAGGAAGTCCAGCCTGCAAAACTACCGGGGTGCAGGCCTCTCCCCGTCTTAACAGGACTCAGAGGCGGCCCACTTCCAGGAGATCGGCCACCTCCTCAAGCCACTTCTTCCCTGTCCCCACCCCCGTACTTTCCTTTCCTCTCCCACCTGCTGGGGCAACAGGTGAGGCGAGCAGCAAAGAGGCAGACAGAAGCAACACAGGCTCGCTCCTCTCCTGTATCTCCTCCGTTCTCAGGCCCTGGAGGAGGCCCCTCCTGGAGACCGGCAACCCAGCCCAGGACCAAGACCCTGGCCGTGAGGGCAGGGGGTCTTCAGCAGTGTGAAGCAAGGCCAGTCCCCAAGGCCTTGCCCATAGGAGGAGCCTTTGGGTCCAAGCGTGCATCTGTGGCATGCCAGGCGTTTGCGGCCACGATGCAGAGGCAGAGAGGACCAACGAGAGGCTGCGGTTTTCCACTCTGCCTACACGAAAAGGAAGCTTTTTTGTTTTCTACTTCAGTTCTTCTCCCACTTTTATGTATGTATGTATATATTTATTTATATTTTGGACCCGGCACAGTGGCCTAGTGGCTAAAGTCCTTGTCTTATAAACACCAGCATCCCATATGGGTGCCAGTTAATGTCCTGGCTGCTCCACTTCCCATCCAGCTCCCTGTTTGTAGCCTGGGAAGGTAGTTGAGGACGGCCCAAAGCCTTGGGACCCTGTACCCATGAGACCCGGAAGAAGCTCCTGGCTCCTGACTTCGGATCGACTCAGCTCTGGTCTTGGAGGTCACTTGGGGAGTGAATCAGTGGATGGAGAATTTTTTTAAAAAAGATTTATTTATTTTATTGCAGAGTCAGATATACAGAGAGGAGAAGAGACAGAGAGGAAGATCTTCCATCCACTGATTCACTTTACAAGTGACCGCAACGGCCAGTGCTGATCTGAAGCCAGGAGCCTGGAACCTCCTCCAGGTCTCTCATGCAGGTGCAGGGTCTCAAGGCTTTGGGCCATCCTCAACTGTTTTCCCAGGCCACAAGCAGGGAGCTGGATTGGAAGTGGGGCCACTGGGATTAGAACCAGCGCCCATATGGGATCCTGGCATGTTCAAGGCGAGGACTTCAGCAGCTAGGCCACGGCGCCCGGCCCATGGATAGAGGATCTTTCTCTCTGTATCTCTTTCTCTCTGCATTATGCCTTTCCAATAAAAATAAAGCCAGGAGCTTCTTCTGGGTCTCCCACAAGGGTGCAGAGTCCTAAGGCTTTTTGGGTCATCCTCGACTGCTTTCCCAGGCCACAAGCACGGAGCTGGATGGGAAGTGGAATTGCCAAGACACGAACCAGCACCCATATGGGATCCTGGCGCTTTCAGGACGAGGATTAAGCCACTAAGGCCATTGTGCTGCACGGCCCCTTCCAGCTCTCCTGCCTTTTTTTCTTAGGAGTGGAAGCCTAGCATGCTTCTCCCCTCAACTCCGAGATGCTCAGAGCAGGGAAAGGGAACCTTGGAGAAAGGGTTCGTGGTGGTGTGCAGGGGAAGGGGCTTTGGGATATTCACAGTGTAATGTTCCAAGGCCAAGGCCACCCACCCACCACAGGCAGAAAGTAGTCAGACCCTCAGTGGAGATGGCCGTGCTGTCTGGGGCCCACTATGGCATCCTCTACGCCAGCCCCACCTCAGGCAGGACAGCTGGGCCAACCCAGTGTCTAGCAGGCCTAAGGTGAGCACATTTCTACAAAGGTGGAGCCTGTCTGCTTGTCCCTGTCGCTCGGTAGCAGCATAAAGGCTGTGCTGACACTGTGGCTTGGGGTGGGGCCTCCTTCCCGGGGTCCCAGGACCTCAGAAACACCTTAGTGAGCTATGGCTCCAGTGGACAGGGAAGGGAGGCAGGCAGGGCAGCCACACACGTTGGGACCTAACAGATGCGCAGCAGGGACCGGTAAAGGGGCCTGACCAGTAGTTCCTGCTGGGCAGGCTATCGGTGTAATTCAGTCATTTTCATGCTGCGTGGGGGCATCCTGGGCTCTCACTCTAGAATGAAAATGGTAGGAGCTTCCCCCAGACAGCTGGGAAAGGAGGTTCAGAAGACTCAGTCCTCAGGGCTCACCCCTTTCTCATGCACTTCTGTCTTGTAGGGGGACCAGGGCAGCACATTTTGGGGTCTTGCCTTTGTCCCACCCCCTACACCCAAGCAACCAAAGGCTCAGCATCAAGGAGCAGCCAGAAGTGGGCTCAGTGCCGTGGGGTGGTGCCCCCCTCGCCTGGTGAGCGTGTGGGCAGGCTGCAGCTCCTCTCTCGCCTGGTGGGGGGTGGGGGGAGAGGAGGCAGATGAGCCACTGAATTTATTTAGAGCCTGATCTCCCTCCCACTGCTTCAGAAGGGGGCCTGGGGAGGAGCCTGGCAGGCAGAAGGCATGTGTGGGGGAGGCTGATCCAGGAACCAGGGAGGGCAGGAAGGCAGAAGGGGCTGGGGTCAGCAGGCTGCCTGGACACCGCCCACGGTGCCGCCTGGTCCTGCCCTCCAGCCCTGCAGAGAGCCTCCATCTCAGGCTCCCTCGGGCACCCTGGTGATATGCCAGCTGTCACAGTGTCCCGAAGAGGTATCCACCAGTGCCTTGGAAATCAGCTGCGCTAGTTAGCCGCAATGGGATTAGTCCTAAAGGCTTCCCCCATGGAGAGCCGGGCGCAGGAGGAGTCCAGTTCCAGGGGTGGACCGGACGCGATCCGGGCCGGGTGGCAAGAGGCGGCCTCAGGCCAGCCAGGGGCTCTCTCTCCTGGGAGACCTTCTGATGGGACAGCTGAGGTGAGGCTGGCAGCTCCAAGGGGCTCCCAAGCTGCGCCCCGTTCCGGCTCCATCTTTCCAGGCACTCACTCTGTTCTCTGAGCTCCGGGAATCACTGCCTAATGAGCTGATTTGTCTCAGTGGGTCAGGAGATAAAAGCAAAGAAGAGAATTAAATATTTATTGGTTGCCTGAGTGGCTGAACCAAGAGCTTCTTCTCCATCTCCAGGCCCTTCGGCCCCTCTGGCCTCATCTCCTGGCCCTCCACGCTGAGCAGGGGCAGCTGCAGCCCGGGGTGGGGATTGGGGGTGTGGGACCCAGGCCCCAGCCTAGGGGAGGAAATGGGCTACAGGAAGGGTGAACTAAGGTGATGCACCGCAGGCGCGGGAGGAGATGGCGGGGGTGCCTCAAGTTCTACCCTCCTGCTTTGGTCCCCAGCACTCTGATGTTCTCTGCCAGTTCCCTAATTTGCAGCCCAGCGAGTGTGCAATGTCCCCCCTCCCCTAGAGTCGCAGCTTCTCTCCGGCTCTGTTGCTCAGACCCGTCACCCCCGGATCCAACACTCCCGTACAGTCGCGGGGAATTGTGCCTCTGCCCGCTTAGCCTCCAGCCCTCCACCCTCGACCCGGTGCGCCCTGGGCTTCAGAGCCACCTGCTCCAGCCTTGCCCCGCGCTGCTCCTCCCCGCACGGGGAGAAACGCACTGAGGGGCTGCACCAGCTCCAGCAGAACCCCCGCGGGCTGGGGCTGCCGAGGTTCCCAGAGCGCCCCCAGTCACCATCGGGGAGGGGGGAGGGGGCAGCAGGGCCCTCGGAGCGGAGGTGTCGCCCGACTCCCCCACCCCCGCCCCGGCGTGGGCAACTCACCGCCTCCGAGTCCTCAAACCCGGGCACGTAGGAGTCGTCATACATGGGGAGTCCGGGCGGGGTGGCGAGCGGCGCCGGGGCGGGGGCGGCCCCGAGGCAGGGGCGAGGACGCAGGGCCGCGCCCGAGATGCCGGCGAGCACCGCAGCCTCCGGGCGGCGGCGGGCGCGCCAGGGAGGAAGCTGCCGCGAAGACGCCTGCCTGCTCGGGCTCGAGCCGCCGCTGCCCACCCCCACCCGCGGGCCCACCCCGAGCGCGGCCGGGGAGTCGGCGCCGGCTGCACGGCAGAGCGCCCGCCCACCCTGCGCTCGCGGAAGGCGGCGGCGGGGCGCGGCGTGGTGCGGCCGCGGGGCCTGGGCCGCGCGGTGGGCGCGCCAGGGAGCTGGGCAGGAGGTGGGTCCCCGAGCACCCACGGGCCGGGGCGGCGGGCGGGCGGGGCGGAGAGGCCGCGGGCGGGCGGGCGGGCCCAGGCGGGGATGGAGGCGGGGCGAGGCAAGCTGCGGACTCGCCGACGCTCCGCAACCCAGGAACTAACTGGCTCCGCCGGGAGACAAAGGGCTGGGCCGGGGGCGAAGGGGGCGCACGGCGCGGCCGGGGAGGGGGCGCACGGGTCTGCAGGGCGGGAGACCGGGAAGGAAGATGGGGGGGGGTAGACGAGGAGACGGACGGGAGGTGACCGGCTAGGGGAGGGGGTTCCAGGTGAGATGGCGGCGCGTCCCCGGGCACTCCGAAAGAAGCAGAGCCCCGCAGCGGAACGGGGAAGGAATGGGTTTGGCGACCCCGGCCCTCAGCCGGTGCAGCAGCCTCCTTTTCTCCCACTGGCTTTCGGGCCCCTCGGTGCAGGAGTGGGGTCGGCTGACCCTGGAGAAGGGCCTAGGTCTGCGCGGCTGGGTAGGCCTCCCCGCACCTGTTGCGCGGCGGCTGTCATGCCAGTCCCGCCGTAATGCAGGTTTCCCTCCCTCACCTCCTGGCCGAACACGGGGGGGGGGGGGCAACCACTGCGAAGGTGGGCACCTGCCTGCCACCCGGCTGGATGCGGGAAGTAGGGGGAAGGGAGGGTCTCCCCGTCACTGGTGGGGTCAGGGCCACCCTGCCTGGCGGGCGAGTGGGGGCTGAGCCCTTCGGTGGAGCGCCCTTGTATGGAGGAAGCTCCCCGCACCCATGGAGCTTCCTTTGAATCTTGACAGCCTGCAGGCAGGGGGCTACACTTGGAGGTCTCCTAGCATCCTTACCTGAACTCAGTCCTGATCCATTTTCCCATCTTTCACCCCCCCCCCCCGAGGAGGGCGCCAGGTTGGCAAATCCGCTACCTCCTCCCTCCCTGAGCTAGCCTCCGAAGAAGGTTTGGCCAGGTCTGTGGTAGAGAAGGGAAGGCCACCCAACAAACCCACTGGCTTCCTTCCTAGGTCATGGTTCCCTTGGCTAGCCTAGACTCCCAGGAGCCTGCCTGCGGTGGGGCGTGTCCAGGCAGGCGTGCCCAGCATCCTCCAGGACGACTGAGGGCAGCCCTTGCTGCTGGCGGTGGGGTGGGGTGGGTGTGTGAGGGCAGTCTAGCTGCCCAGTCCAGTGGCCGGTGGGGGTGGGGCAGAGGATCGAGGTGCCCCCTCTCAGTTCTTAGGCTTCTTCGGCCCTTTCTCATCCTCTAGAAGGATGCAGCCCCTCAGTGCTCAGTCTCCCCTGGGACACTTGCTAATGGTGTTCTCTGCCGGACCCGCCAGAGGCCCAGGGCGCTGGGAGTCCGTGTAGATCTGCCATTAGGCACCCTGCTTCCTCACACACGTTGTTGTCTTCACTAAGTCTGCTCCCTGGGCATGGGTTGCCATGCCAACCACCCCCATGAGATGGGTTAGGTTCCTTCTATCTGGACCCATCCCCTGGGTCCTGCAGGAGTGCCACCTTCTCCCTCCCTTGCTCCCCATACCTTCAGGGTTGCTACCTGGTGCCCCTTTGTGCTTTCACATCACCCACACCTCTCCACTCTGTCCACAACCTAATGACTGCCTGCTCTTTAGCAAAACACACGCGGCTGTCAGCATCTGTGTGGCTTCTAGCCCTTGTTCTGCTTTCTATAAGGGGTGAGGACCAAGGGCAAGAAAGGGTTGGGGGAGAGGACAGTCCTACACTCTTTGTAGGAGAGAGTTGTTAAACTGGCAGCTGGCCTTGGCTGAGCATGGCAGCCTGTCCTGGGAGGAGATACCCAAGCAGCTAGATTGGGAGCCTGCAACACGCCTTCCAGAGCCTCCTCTAGGTGCACCAGGAAGCTGGGCACATCACAGGCCCCAGGGAATTAAATAGGGAAACTAAGGCAGGCCCTAGGACTTCTGGGAAAACTTACAGTCATCTTCATTAAGCCTGGACCAGGAAAAGGTGCTTAGTTGCTAGGTGCTACCCAGGGGGCTCAGGTAGGGGGTCCTTGGCATCCTGGCACAGGGCTCCTCTCTGGGTCCCCACCCTGCTCTCTCCTCCCAGAGCTGCCAGTTCCAGTTCTACTCTCCTAACCCAGCTTCTGTTTCCCTACGCTTCGCCCCCTCCCGTTGCCTCCCTCGCGATGCTGCAGGCTCCCCCCAAAAAGGAACCCTTTTTCCTGCTTGGGGCGGGGTGCCCTCCCACCCCTGGGGAGGGGCCCCATTACCTCGTTCAGCAGGAAGGTTGCACTGGAGTCAGAAAAAGACATAGACCGGGCTAGCCGCCTCTCCCCTCCCCCGGGCCAGGGGCTCCGAGGCGGGAGCAGGACCAGCCACGGCTCTGCACGCTGGCTCCCGCCTGCACGCCTGGCCTCGCCTCGCACCCGCCCGGCTCCGCCGCCGGCTCCCTTCCCTCTCTCCTGGTTCCTCCCCCTTCCTCCTCCCTCCCGCCCTCCCTCCCTCTCCCTTCCTCTCTCGCCGCTTCTGTCAGTCTCTCTGCCTTTCGCTCCAGCCTCCCTCCACTTCCGTCTCTACGATACCCACTCTCTATTTGGGTGCCTCCCACCGCCTTAACAGCCGCATCTCTCCCCCTCCGCTGCCAGTCCCCTCCTCGGAGCGGGCAGGGCCTCCCCAGCTCCGCCGGCGCAGGGGCGGAGGGTCCGAGGTGGCCCCGGCACCTGCGCTTTGGCGGCGGTGTTCCGCTCGCGCCCAGCCTCCCCTCCGCGCGCCCCGCGCAGCCTCCGGCGCTCGAGCGAGTAACGCGCTGCGGTCCCGGGAGAGGGGACCCAGGGAGAAACTCCAGTGCCCACCCCTCCCAAACCCAGGCCCGACGGCTCCCGCGCGACCCACTTGGCGCCAGCCCAGCCGGGGTGGTCTCTACTGCCACCCCCACACCCACCCCCGCCTCTGGCACCGTGCGGGCTTGTGCCTCGCGGAGCGTGGCTAGGGCGCAGTGCAGCGGCCCCTCCCCGGCCGGCTGCAGCGCCCTGCTGGACTCCGGGTGGCCACGCCGGCCCCCCGGGTGGCGGCACTGGCCCGGACTGCAGGCAGCTAGACGCGGGGGAACGGCCCTGCCAGCAGGAGGCGCTGCCCTGGACCGGAGCAGAGGGTCCCCGGTTCGGATCCGGACCCCGCCGAGGCCGGAATCAAGCCCCTCCCTCTTTACTCCTGACTGGGCAGCCCAGGGGAGGACCCCAGGCTGGGCGCTCTCCCCAACGCGCCTGGGGCTCCTCTGGGGCGCCTGGGGCTCCTTTGGGGCGCCTGCGCCCCCTGCAGACCCTAGACCGTTCCTACCTCCATCCCGGTCCTGAAGGGCGCCCCAGCTGAGTGGGGCTGCGATCCGGCCGACGTGGACTACCGAGCCTAGTCGCCGGCGGGCTCCTCGGGTCGTACCCCTCCCGCCCCTCCAGAGGGCACGTCAAGCCAGACAAGCCCAACTCCTGGCGGGGAGGGGGGCAGGCGTGGAGCTCCCTGGTGAGCGGACTCGCCTCTCATTGGTCCCTCTGCACCCCTGGACCCCCGAGCTGACCGGCAACCAAAGACGGCGGCTGGGCGGGAGAAAGGTATGTGTCATGGAGACCACTGTAGTGGCAACCCTGACCCCCCACTTGGGCAGCCTTAGGGACCCCTCCTCCCAGTGTCCATCCCCTGGAGATGTCGCGGAGACTGTCTCTCCCCGTCTGCGCATCCTCCACTTACCCCTGCTGCAGAAGGGGCCAAGTTGGGGAGCTCGGTTCCGCTTCTACCCCCAGCTGGTCCTTGCACAGGGCCTGAGCGGGAGAAAGCTTTGGGAGGGTCCCCACCCCCCCATGCACACAGTACTTAGCTTTGACCACGAAGAGAAGATAGGCTGTGTGAGTGTGTGTTGTGGCCCTGTGTGCAGGGTTTGACGTGCCTTCCATTTGGCGGTGAGGCCGGGAGGAGAGTGGCCCCTCCTACCCTCTTCACCCGGCTGACCACAGCTAATGGACTAGCTCCTCAGGGCCTCGGGGCAGCTTAAGTTTCCATAGCAGAAGGGAAGTGGGGGCAGCGGGGAGGGGTGCGGGCCGGGGCATCCAATTGTCCTGGCTTGTCGATCCTTCCACTCTGCCGGAACTAGCCTAGGAGCCATCTATGCACCACTTGGGTTAAAATAGAAATATCAATGACTCCTTCCCCAGCCATCACAGGGAATCGGGCTTCACAACAGCTCCACCCCCACCCCCTCCCATCCCAGCGGCTGGACCAACATACCGCTGTCTCCATCTGCCGTCCAGAGCTGGGACCAGGAGCCCGACCTCCAGGTCCCCAGAACTGCCGCTCCCAGTTCCTCTCTGGGCCTGGCTGGGACATACCGTTTTTCTTCCCCCAACTCCAGTTCTTACCTTTCCACATCCAGGCAGGGCTCCCTGCTAAGAGGGCCCTCCAGCCCAGGTGGATGCATTCCTGGGAGCCTGGCCCTGGATGGCTCACTCAGGCCCGGCATTGATACGGAGCTTCCCAGGCACCCTTCATTCCAGTGCTTGATCCCCAACCCTGCGCCGCAGCGAGAACGCTGGCCCGGGTTCCTCTGAGCCCCTCGGCCACTCTGGGCAGACATGATGCTGACCTTCAGGCTCGAGGTGCCATCCGTACCTGGCATAACCTGCACAGCCGCGCTTGGTGTTTGAGAGCCCCCCCGCGGACAGACACTGCTGCACGCCCCCCTTTGTGTCGGTTCCACCTGCTTCCGCCTGCGCGGAAAGGCGCCAGGCCCCTCTCTTCGGAGGAAATTTTGCCCGAGCAGCTTTCGCAGGGATTTCCTGTGGCTGAAGCCAGGGGTTTCTGCGGAAAGTTCTTGCCACAGCGCACCCCAGTCCCTGTTGCTGCTCTCTGTCTGCTGGGCCCAGGAGTTATCGGCTGTTTGAAGGCACTTGCCGCCCCATCCCCTGACACAGCATGTGCTATAAATATGCCTGAAGAGGTTTCTGCTGACTGTGCAGCCAGCGTGCACCCTCCTTCCCAAAACCAAGCCTCTGGAGGGACGGGGAGGTGGCTTACGGTTCTCAGCCCTTGGGGACAGACCGTGTGACTGCTGTGGGCCTGGGGGCACCTCCTGGTGCCTGGGAAAGAGGTGACGGGGTGCCTGGAGCACGCTTTGGCCTGCAGCATGGACGTGCTTCCTGCATGTTAATTTTGCCATCTTAGTTCTCATCTTTCCTTATGGCTGCACTGCATGCCAGGGTGATCCTGCTTCCACAGAATGGACTGGAGTTCCAGCTTACCCCAGTCGGGGAGGAGTTTAAGAGGCCGCATCTGAGGGCTGCCTTCACCACCTCGCCCCCTTCACCGGTGGCCAAACCCTGCGCCTGCCACACTCTTGATGCTTGAGGTCTCCCAATCCCTGTGGGTGTCCCAGCTTTGTCACTCAGGGGTGGACCTAGGGGTTCTAGGGCCCCTCCGTCTGGGGTGGAGCCTAGGTGCCGGCGGAAAAAGTTGCCCCTCTCTGGAACAGCTAAGCCTGCGCTTAACTCTGCAGACCCTAGACTGCGAGCTGTTAAGAGAAGGGAGTTCCCCACATGGCGATGGCCAAAGCAGGCTGACCATCCAAAACTGGGGCCACAGGAGCTACCGGCATCCTGGGGCCCAGCAGCTGGGCAGCTGCCAGGAGGCTGGGTGTGCCCCACCCCCCCACCCCAAGGCTCAGAGCCCCAGCATGCATAGCAGAGAGGCCTGGGGTGAGGGCCATGCAGTCCTTCCTGTGGGTCCTTTCTATGGGTCATCCCTAAAGCACTGCCTTTTGTGAATGCCTTGATTCCCCACTGGCCTTTTAGGACACAGGCAGCATGGAGGGGAGGCAGCGGCCCACGCAGGTTGGGTCCCTGTCTGCTGGATGCCCCACTGAGTTTAAGCCGCTGAGCTGTGGTAGCCCTCCCTGGCTCAGAACGAGGACATGGTGCCTGCAACCTCTCTGGGAATGAATAATTGAGGAGGGCATAGTGCTGGCTGCTCAGTTGCCATCCCACGGGCCCAGTACTGCCTCTGCTGCTCACTGCGGGGAGCTGAGTGAGCCTGGCTAGGAATGGGGACTGGGGAGAGGCAGCTACAGGGTAGGGACTGGGAGGGTGGGGAGAAGCCACGTGGTACAGTTCTACTGCCCACCCCCATCACTGGTTGGGAAAAAGGCAGAGGTACCCTGGAACCAGCTTGGGAAGTGGAACTGGTGGTCACCTGGGGTGGGAGGTTTGGACACACACCCTGGGGGTGGCATAAGGACCTGGCTCCTTCTCTAGAGATCTGAAGTCGGTGTGAGCGGGGCTTTTAGGATACTGGGCGCGGCTAAGGGCAGGGGCCGCAGAGCAGGGAGGTGAGTGGCATAGCTGCTGGAGGCACACAGGCCTGTGCAGGCGGGGGAGGAACGCTCCTGCCAGACCTGGGGAAGAAGGACTCCCAGAGGCCCAGTCCTGGTTCCCCCCCCCCCCCTTCTCCCAGGCAGTGCTGGGCAAGACATTCTTAGCTCAGAAATCCAGTTGCAGTGGAAAAAGCCAGTGCTCACTGTAGCGGAAGGTCTGTGAGAATTCCGAAGTGACTCGGGAGTCACTGATGGCTGGGGCTGGGCAGCTGGGCAGCTGGGCCCGCCCACTGCCTGAAGCCAGTGACCTGCATGCGGCCCCTGGCCTGGGCCTGACCCAGGGAGGAACTCTGTGGTTCCTTCCACCTCTGGGAGTGGATGACTGGCCAGAGGCCACAGTGAGTCCACGGATGGCTGTGCCTTCAGAGCCACTTTAGCGACTATGCCTCCTGGAAGCTTTCTGTGGCAGTGTGTGGGCTGTGTATGCTACACTCTCGGGCCTGGGGGCTGCACGCTCGGGTCAGGGGTGCCGCACACTCAGGCTGGGGGTGCTGCATGCTTGGGCTGGGAGCTGCACGCTCGGGCTGGGGGGCTGCACGTTCAGGCTGGAGGGCTGCACACTTGGGCTGGGGGGCTGCACGCTCGGGCTGGAGGGGCTGCACGCTCGGTCTGGGGGGTGCTGCACGCTTGGGCTGGGAGCTGCACACTCAGGCTGAGAGGCTGCACGCTCGGGCTGGGAGCTGCACACTCGGGCTGGGGGGCTGCACGCTCGGGCTGAGGGGCTGCTCAGGCACTTGGTGCTCTTCCATGGCCAATGCCACAGCCATTAGCAGGCACTCCACACTCATGTCCCGTCTATAGCAATCATGCATCACACATTTCCTGACTCTGCTTTGAGGCTGTGTGAATAACATGACAGGCATTTTGGAATGCAGTTCTTAAACAGCCTTTGTTTTTTTAAAATATTTATTTACTTATTTGGAAGGGAGACTGAGAGCAAGCAAGGGTTCTCATCCACGGTTCCTCCCCGGATGCCCCACTGACAGAGCATCACCCCTGCCTGCTGGGATCTGGATTAGCAGGAAGATGGAGCCGGGAGCTGGAGC